TATAGCTAGTATCACAAGCCCAGTTTACCTGCTTTACATAAAAATATTATTCGACCTTCATTCAGTATTCCAGTTTTTATACTGAACTTAACTAGATATTAGTAGTGCAATCTATACCATAATTGCGTGAAAATTTCAATAGACGACAGTGTGGCTGGTCATACAGTTTTCTTTAATCAGTTACACGGCGCATGCACAGCGTCGGCGTGTCTACCTTTTTATACAGAGAGTGATAATTACATTGCGTGTGACGTCACTGACAAACAACTCAAAATGTAAAAAATGGTCACAACAAATCACGTATATCACCCTTAATAAAGAAAATGGCAAACATTTATAAGTTCAATACAACTGCTATTGTTTTTGGGAGAACAGTGCATTTCTAAATAGAGGCTTCATGAAACCGAAACACAAAGTACCGAACTGAAACAGTAAGCTTTGATTTTATTTACAATATTAAAAGAAAATATAATGTTTCATGAAACTTACTAATTCAAAGATTATCTTTCGTTAAATTAGTGGCTTAAGATTCTACCTCATAATCAGAGTTATGTAAATTAAAATTTTAATAAGCGTTTGTCTATTGATAAATTAAATTATAAAATATACCTGCAACCAATAAAGCACAGAAAGCTACTTAAGAGGAAATATGGTAAGCTTAATTAAGTCATTTACGAAGATATCGAAATTTAAGATGCCACTTCAAATAGTTGTGCGAATTGGTGGAAGTATTGCAATATCCTGGATATTCCCTTGCCTTCCATTTTAATATAAATCCACCTTTATACAATAATCCCTCCTGTTAAATCATGATTTAGCTCAAACGATTACAACCTGAAAGCGGCGAAGAGTAACTTAAAAGTGGCACTCTAGCAACATCTTCTATTTATATGTTGACAGTTGTTGGTAACATTATCACAGGACATTACTGCATTAATATTTGTCACGGACTTAAAACGATTGCTGACAAAGTTTCCGTCTGTTGTGGCTTAAAAACTAATCCACGCATGATTGACCGGTAAGAATATTAACGTCACGGACACTAGACAATTGGATTAGAATATTCGGCGTAGTTTGTTGGGTTCCAAACACGCGGCTGGAGACCCCACACCACACAGCACGCGCTGACATTTGATACGCTTTCACATACTGACTGCTAGGTTAGTAGCATTGATTGAACAAGGCCGTGTAAAGGACTCCGTATTTAAAACTTTTTTATCTATACTAATATTATAAAGAGGTAAAGTTTGTGAGGTTGTAGGGATCTCTAGTTCTACTGAACCGGTTTTAAAAATTCTTTTACCAATAAAAAGGCACGTTACTTGTGAGTGTTATAGGCTATTACAAAAAAGCCAGCGACATCATTGTGTCACTTTTATATTTGAGTCAAATAAAGCAATTTTTGTTGGGGTAGACGAGTTCTGGAGTGGAGACCGCGTCTAGGCAAACGTAGTGTAGGACGTCCTCAGGCACGATGGAGTGACGATTTGCGCAAGGTGGCTGGCAGGAGCTGGATGCGAGTAGCCCAAGATCGATCTGAGTGGCGTGCATTTGGAGAGGCCTATGTCCAGCAGTGGACTAAGATAGGCTGTTGATGATGATTGATGAAAGTAGTTTTTGGCGTACATACAGCGTACATTTTTGCTCAGGATTATCTCCGCGAGCGAGTGGCGAGAGTGATCGCCCGTCGTACTCGCACATAGCCCAGCGATAAAACTATCGAAACTATACACTCGGTTCCCACTGCTCGTTTCTAGCTTACTCTCTTTTAGTTCATCGTTCGCGGTGGGACAAGTGCCTTATAGAGATGACTAGCAAACCAGTGAACCAAATGTTCACCAAAACCTGATTTCTCGAAAACCGGAAGTGCTACGTGACTCAAATCCGGTTTGTAGTCTTATCAGACTATTCTTAACTTATAACTTAAATATTCTCTTTATCTATCTCTTACGGTTTGGCCGCTGAAACAGCACCACAGACAGACGGACTTGTCTAATAAATAAGAGATACGACATAAGGAACCGCGACCGTGTCGTTATCTATTGAGTAATATTTCTACTTTTTTCTTTATAGTTTCCACAACCAATTATTTTCAGTACTTCTTTCCATTTTATTGTTTCCTTAAAAAGTTATTTTCAGAACTACTTTGTCTTAAGATTTCCTCGCACTGTCATTATTACGCTTAGATCTTTAAAACCACGCAACATATTTTAATGAAGTTTTCAGCAAAGGAAAAGGTTATTCAAGATGAACGTTTAAGTATTTTAGAAGCTCAAGTGCCTAAACTATAGCCCACACCGAACTCCGAAGCGAAGCGAGGGAGGGTCGCTAGTGTAGAAATATAGTATCTGAGTAGTACGTACTTCGGAGTATGAGAAAAGAATGTTCAGAAGTTTTTATTGTTACATTAAAATATACTCGAATAATTCAAACAATTTCTTCACATCACGACTTTGAAGTTAGAATGTAACAGAGAAATTCAGTTTGAACGAATATTGTAATAATACAAGTGTCTTGTCTATCTAGTGCATAACGATATCGTCTTATCGAAAAGCAAATATACAAAAAGTTCTTTATCGAGTTATTTATCGAGTTTTGAAAAATGATACCCAATATTATAAAAGTCATATATATGTGCATCATATGTGCGGTAGCCACATAGACTGGCCCTATTGTGACAAGTCTGTGCGCAACACCATTGTGTTAGGAAAGTGATACCGCGTCTGCTGTTCTTTACGGTTTGAGCCCACACTTGTAGCTTTTGAATCTGACCAAGGCTCTAGTGTCACAATCTACACCAACCTCGGATAATGAGAGAACCGGTCTCAAGTCTCGACGTGTTCATGACGCATTGCATACTGCAAAGACCATCTTCATTGTTCAACCCATTCCGCGCAATCAATACGAGCTGCTGTCACGAAAAGGCATTATCTATCTACTGTTTGATATAATCGCAATCCTTATCAAGAGCATGTTTATCTCAAATAAAACCGTCATACGACTCGCGAGCTGTCAAACATTATTAACGATTATGTGGTTGAAAGGGCTTTCAAACACGACCATCACATTCTTATGAGCTTATTAAAATAATATATTTACAGAACTGTCAACGTGCATGCTGGGAAACTGCTGAAATAAATCTGGGCGTATTTCCAAGTCAGGCCATGGTTATGACGCTGTTGGAGAAACTCGCACAAACATGGGGGTCAACATTCGTAAGATATTTTTTTAATAAAAAATGTGAATTTCACAAACAAAGACCAAGTACCTAGGTACTTGCCGAAAGAACTATTTATTATACATAATTTATGATACTTATCGCGGCGCAGTAAACAAGAGCCTACGTAATCCAATATTACATTTTATTATTGGTGATTATCGAATCAATAAAAAGTATATTGTTTTGCAGCGAAAAGTGTCTTACATTGTTTAATAGTATAAAAATTGAAAGAACTTATCGATGAGAAAATTGAGTATTTTATTTAAAGCACGGGATTTATTATTTAAACCCGATGAGAATTCCCATTTAGAAAAAAGAAAGACGTTAATACTCATGATAGCTATCATCATCTGTCTATTAATGTCCCCACTGCTGGGGCACAGGCATTCCCTATGGGTGGATAGAATAGGGACAGTGTGCCGTGACCCACAACGCGAATCCAGTGCTGATTGGTGGCTGCTAACGAATGGAGATGCAGCCGAGACCAACGGCTTAACGTGCCTTCCGAAGCACATAGGAGCTGTTTTTGGTCACCCATCAATTAACCAAAAATTGCGAAAGTTGTTTAAACTCCACGATCGCAGGCCGAACGCGCTAACCACCCGCGCCATCGAGTTCCTCCTTATAAATTATGTGGCTATAAGCGCGATTAAAATTATCACAACCTTCATGTTTCCCTCAGTTTCCATAAGTAATAATTCCGAATTCTTAGTATAAACATAGTTTAATATTTTATACGCTTTCTGAATTCGAAGAAACTTTCACAATTCAACACGTTTAACTTATATGACGTTAAAATTGGTTTCTATTACTTCCCCCCTATGTATATTTCAACTAATGTGTAATATTAGGCTCAACTTGTGGCGTGATTACTTATTATAGTAAAGTACTTATGCTGTCAATCATTTCGGAAGGTCTTTTTATGATCGACTTGGTACGACTTTGGGAAAATATATTTCACCATCTTACAGTAGATAAACAGAAATATATTCTCGTATTTTTAACCAGTGTCATTAGGTCGACCTAGCACTGAAGAGGCGAAAAATAGGGATTCCTGATCCCTAATTGTTTACAAATGTTTACTGCGATTTTCTTTGAAGGTAAAGAAGTATCCATATGTGATAAATTTCACTCTTTCCCAACTATGATACTAAGGCCGCAAAAAAGTTACACCCGGCTAGGTGAGGGTGCAGCACCTATCTGCCGCACGCATCATCTTTATCCACAACTGACTGCTGGCGTGCGGTAATCTGCCGGGAAATACGAAGTGATTTGCTCCTGTATAAAATATTGTGGCATAGGTAGTTATTTAATTGATTATCGCGCGTTAATCCTACTAATATTATAAATGTAAAAGTTTGTATGTTTGTTACTAAAACACGCAAAAACTATTGAACGGAAAAGTAAAATTATAAGACGAAGTTGCGGGCGGCCGTTAGTATTCAATAAAATTATTAGATATATATGTATTGTATATTCGCAATAAGTTAATAATAAGAATGTAGATAGGTCTCGCGATAAATGACTACATGGTAAAATATTAACTCTGATAACTGCATGAACTTGAAAGGACGGATGAAGGAGATAATCTTAAATTATAATTTTAATAAATACATAATAAGGAATCATTATACCTATTACGAACAGGGTATTTATTTTGTTACAATCTCTACTTGTGATTTCAAATTCATTTAACGAAAATTGATGTAATAAATATTTGCAACTTTTTATAACCAAACTCAGCTCAAATTTATCGCTCAGAATTATTTTATTATTTTACCAATTTTTTTTAGCAGTAACATGGAAGGTTCTTCTGACTTGGCCCTGTCGCGACGAACATCGCGGTCGGAGTTGACGATGTAAGTGCCGCGCCGTTTCAACATTGTTTTTATCCACTTGTCGAGTTCCACATGAAGGCTGTCGCACTCCACCGACCACACAATCATTATCACTAAACTTTTGCGTCATGCATTTTTGTTTAGAATCGGATACAATTTCGACACGACATGCATCTAGTGAATATTGGCTGGACGATTTGAGAATTTGCTATAATTTGCGAACCACGATTGTTTAAAGATTGTTCGCGCACCGGATAACAGCGACAGTGCAGCACTGACTTGAGGAAGTGGGTTAACGAACCATTTGGTTGTTTTGCAACATGCACCGGCTGCGACCACGTCGCTCGACTGTAACGCCCCGAGCGAAAGGCGACTCGACGAAAACTGAGAGTGCGTTACCACGGAGCTTCCGCGAATGGATAGGATGAAACGGCGCTCATGCCGACCGCGAGATAGCGAGATTGACAGTTATTGATAACGCTCGAGATAACAATAGTACATAAAACACGTAGATACATGACATAACTCAGGTTTTGTGTAGCTATTATTGTTAGGATAAGTCAATTTGATCTGGTTTAATAAACCAAATATATTCTATGATGGACTGACTGAGAGTAAAAAAAATAGAATAATCAGATTGTAAAAGCTTCTGCTGATGGACAGAACATATTCCGAAACCCTTGTAGGCAATAGGCTAGTATTAGTATGTTTTGGACAGCATACTAGAAAAGTTTAGAAGTTTATTACAAATGTTCAATTTATATTTTTTTTACTCTGAAACTGTACTTTTATTACAATGTCAGCTTTGCAATGGGTATATGGTGAGATGGTATTTATTATATGATATAACAATGATGATTATCTATAAAGCTTAGGTGTAGTTATGGGAGTCATGTTTATAATATTTTTTTAACATGTATCTTATGTTACTCAATGAGGGACAATTGGTGTGAACAAAATAAATAAATATGTATGATTGTGATAAATTATTGATTCATTAATTTTAACAGCAAAGTAACAGTTTTTTCAGGCTTATTCCAACAGAAAAGTGGCATAATCAGATATAAAAATATTGCATAATGCTAAAATTAAGGTTAACTGCTGTTCATAGTGATTATGACACTTTAAACATTTTAATAGTCTGCAATGCAACTGGTACCCTACTAGCCCTAGGGTTATTGTCCTTATTAGCCTGTAAAACTTCATACAAAGCTGTTTATGCCCTTTATAAGTTATCCCAATCTGTAGTCTTTATAATCAGGTGTATAAGCATATTCAATTATATGTTTACTTATTAATATAAACAGCAGACACATTATTCTTATATAAACCACTTGAATTAACTTGATTATTTTTTATTCATTTGTTGGACTCAATTCCAACAATGAATAAAAATGAAATTTTGTTAAAATATATAAATGCTATTTAGCACCTTTTTAGTATTTACTTAGAAATGTACCTGCTTAATTATGATTTATAATCAGTTATACATAAAATACCTGGTAGGTAATCAGTTATACATAAAATAACTGGTAGGTAAAAATTGTTATAATAAAGATTAGCCAATAAGCAAAACCCAAGAGGCACCTTAATGTAGAAGGAAGAGTGCCAATATTTGTCATATTTCTGAACTGTGGGTCATTACTGTTAACGAATATGGAATAAAAGATTATACAATTTCTATTTTTCAACAAAGTTTCAATATTATAATTGTGACAATTAGTTTTGAGATAGTTCTAGTAGAACATCTCAGAAATGTTTGTTTTTAATACATAAGCAAAATTAAAAAGACGGAAGGGTAATCCTATTAGAATCTTGTAGGTGGATAATTTAGAAGTTTTCTGATAAAATCAGAAAATTAATCATTTATTAAATTTGATAAATGTTCCAGTACCCGTTTATGTTGTAATGCTTTTTGAGTACCTAATCATAATTAAATTATTTACCCCCCATAAAAGTTTTTTTTTTAATAAATTACATGTTTTTGAGATGATATGTGTGGAACGATAAGTTAAAGTTTAATTTGTTTAATATAAATGCAGTGAATTAAAATTACGTCATATTGAAGTAACCTCAAAGCCCCTACCTTAGTAAAGTTAATTATGCATGCTTGTGACTAATTTTAACCTAGGAGATATAGTAGCTAGTTCGCAATAAAATTTGCTATATCAAAAATTCTATGCTAATCATTACTAAAGATATTCGTAACATAAAAATTGGAGTACCTACGACGACTCGCTTTCAGAATTCGATAATTTGACGTTAAAGCTGTCACAATGCCAGGCCTATGTGGCAGGCTGTAGCCATTTTTGAAATGCTGCGAACTTTTATGTGGTCGATATTGATTATCCTAAAATAATCAGGGTTTCTAATTTTTTTATAATATTGAACATAGTCTGCAGCCATATTTGAAATTGTCAGCATTGAAATACGTCACAGGCGCAAAGAAATCACGATGGCCGACAAAAGAATGGTTAGATGGTACTTACTACTAATTTTTACGCCTCCTAGAGGTGGTTTCGGTGGTTGATTATCGAATGTCTTTCGAACGGATTTGCTGCCCTCGGCGAATGACGTGGTCCTTGGGCGTCCGCTCATTATTTAAACTTATAAAATAAACGGCCTTAGAATCCTGAACTTCATAGATACATCACATTTCTCGTTACCACCCTTGCACACGCACTGAACTCTAGCACTTTGCCAACGATATAAATGAGTCAGAAATATGAAAGTCAAAACAATATCACTAAGATACAATCAAAATCAAAATAAGAATATCCTTTTTAGCTTTTACAATATCATTTTGTTAAAATTTCAAAATTTACATCACTAATGTGAACGACAGATTTTAGTTTCTTCGTCTTCCTTGACTTGTGCTCGCTCGCTCACTCGTTCGGCTAATTTCGGCTACCACTCGGACTTTCGATCACTTCACGAAGGTGACGTCACATGGTGTGACCACAGCGCCATCTTTCATAAAAGCAAGCTAACTACAGACGCCTTACCATTTGTCGGTAAAACAGAAATAACCTTCTCTCTTGTCTTTGAACATTCTAAAACCATAGACATCAAAATATAAATCTAAGAGCTAGCACACACGAGCAACTTTACAAGTCTACTGGTTTGAAAGAGCACGCATGTACCTAGCTATAGTGATGCGACTTTTCTGGCCGCGGGTTTGGAGACAAGCCCGTGACGGGCGACAGACTTCAAACTCGCGCCAAATGAAGTGCCGACATTATTTATACTAGTATGTGTAAGAACGAGACAAGGAGCTTCTGTAATGACTATCTCAATGTACCTGGTTGCCCTTCTGAGATTTTGAGGCAGGAATATACTTACAGTCAAACCAAAATCTTTTGTCACTTTTATGACATTGACAGGGGGGGCTTCTGGTGTAACTTAATGTGTACTATCTCGGCAATAGTAATAGAAAATATAAAAGGCTTTTTACCACCTTCCTATATAAATAAAAAGAGTCAAGGTAATAATATACTTATCTGTCTTGTTGTGTTGAGATTGTGTCGCGTTTTGCCCCGATCGGTTTCATACGTCCAGTCGATACATCGCAACAAGTATAGATCTAATAGTACTAAATGTACGACAGACAGATGTGCCATTATTTTTAACTTTCTAAAATTATTGGTTTCTGAACGCTAGAACTACACTGAACAGCGGGTCAATTATGCTTTAGTGATACAATCCTAATGTGATGTCAATATGATGTTGATGCCAAGTTGACAATGTTTTAAAATGGTATTAAGGAACATTCCTATGTCACATCAAGATCATATCAATATTATAGCCTGTATCACATTTTTGACGTTTATGCGATACTGTTTTAAGTCAAAAAGTTGAACGTAATACGCATCTAAGTTGATATCATTTTAAAGAGTTGATCATAATACGCATAAGTTGATGTCATTTTGATATCGCATTTTTCGGAGAGCATAATATACGTAATGTGAAATTGATATCAAAACAATATCACAATTAGCGAGCATAATTGACCTGGGGGCCAATTGCCTAACTGGATTGCTTTGGATAACGCTATCGCTTACGATTTCATTTTGTTATTTCTGACCGCCGAAGGTTTTCAAATACCTCACGCTCATTTTTTTAATATTGTTATTAACAATGCAAAAGAAAAAAAGAGCGCGAAGCAGTTGAAAACCTCAGTTGGCTAGAAATAACAAAATGTAATCGTAAGCGATAGCGTTTTCCAAAGCAATCCGGTTAGGCGATTGGCCCCCTGCTGTTGTGTTGTGACCATAGATGTGCCATAGATATATATGGCTGTGACTAGGGCTGCCATCCGTCCGGGTTTCCCCGGATTTGTCCTAGTTTACGGGGCGTCCGGGGAGCGTCCGGGCGGGGTTTCATTTGTCGTCCGGGTTTAAAAATTTCCTGTATTGGGTTGCCAATTAATCCGTAAATGTAAATGTCTTTGAAAATGAATAAATCTTTTCTAACACAGTAACCATAAATGCAGACTTCCAACAAAGATCAGCTTTCCTTGGTGCTGCAAGTGTCCAGTGACCACTTATTATGAGGTAGACCGCTAGCTCTTTTGCCTACATCAACAAAAAAAAGTTGATTTGTGACATTTTTAACTGTTATTTTATTGGTCTGTCCGGGTTCTGGGCTCCAAAATCCGGGGTTATCACGCCTCTGATTCTGGTTGCCACATTTTAGAGATGGCAGCCCTAGCTGTGACGCATCAGAGACCTATCTGTTTTATACATTTGATATGGTTAGAGTGAGAACGCTGTCGACACATCGCGACACACAAGTATAGTTCTTACCGTGCTTTAGATATGAAATCGATCACGTTACAACACAACACGTAAAATAAATATAGTTCTGCCTTACGTCTACGCACACCATCACGGCATGGAATCTTCATAGTAAAATATTTGACCAATAGGCTAGTTGACCCTTTTTGGAAAAAGGTTTTAAATGGTTAATAAATGTTCTATTAGACCGAAAAAAAATGTATTGTATTTTTTTTAAACCTAGAAAGCTACAAATCTTTAATTTTAAAATAGACTTTTCATGGACATACAAAAACGCTGTCGGCCATTTTAGTCTATAGATTGTCTATGCTATGACGTGAACTGTGGTAAACAAAAACTCGTAAACACGTAGAAAATTACTTTTAACTGAGTTTATAATATAAAAAAACATGATTTCTAATAAATACCACGAAAAATAAAGTAATTATCATTACTGTATTGTACGAGAATATAAAAACACATCCTTGAAGACTCCAGGAAAGTTGTGGATTAAAGTGCCGAAAGAAATTAACCTACGCAACTTTATTACACTTATTCATATGTTGTATCAGTTTTATGTTTATTACTACATTGTAATACTAAATGCACGGTACTTACATAGATGCCTTGTCGTTTCTCTGCTCCGCAGAGCAGAAATCGGGGTTTAGTGCAACAAATTCACCAACCATCAATGCGTCAATTCTTGGCAGATTTGTGCTTTCTGCTTTCACAAAGCCGGCATCCATAATTTGTTTAGTCAAAAAAAACTAAGTTTACTGTTTTTTTCTTTCCTAAGGTTAAAAGTGTTTTAAGATAAATTTAGTCAGACGAAAGAATCCACCTACAGTAACACGCGAATGACATTTAGTTGTTTACCACAAGAGACGTCAAAATCATGGCGAATGCGGCGAACAGCGTTTTTAGTGTTTAAAAAATATAGACTAAAAAATATTTTTTAAAATTAAAAATCTACAGCAATCTTCTGCTTTTATGAAGTGAAATCGATATATATAGGTTCCTTAGACTAAACACTTTAAGAAATAAACATTTATTTAATACAATTCGACATGAGTAAACTAGCCTATTTTGTGGCCATAGACAAGGAACGGTACTTTGGAATCTGACATTTCCCTCGCCCTCTTCATCCCTTTCCTTAACCCCCGTTCTCCCCGTCCGCCTGAAGGAGCACAGATTAGGTATTACGATTATGTCTAAAGATCGAGCGTTTTCCATTTAGAAAAAAAAGTCGACACTGTGTTGCACTGTGTCGACGATACTATAGCAAAAACCTAATGCCAACTAAAGCTTGGTAACTTCAATACTTTTCATTGGTAACACTGTTAGTTTATAAATTCTTTGGTCCGCTATCATGATGTTCCCCTCAGGTTCGAGTGGTCTAGAGGCTCCAGACGCCTGGAATACCTTAGGGATGTCGAAAGTTGAAAAAAAAAATGGTTGCCTGTAAAGTCGGTTTTACGGGCGAAGATTTTACGTGACAACGTCTTTTTCTCGGTAGAATATTTATTGATATGAATATAATTAAATTGCACAATAGGAACAAGGAATTGAATGAAAATAAGAATTGCACAAATTTTAACTATAGAAATATATTTTGTTTACTAAAACATTGTACATGTAAACTTAAACTTAACACGAGAGACTCATCGTAACGTTACCGAGCGTTACACTTTTTCATAAGTGACTCCCAGCCGCAACCTAATTTAAGACGTTGTCACGTCAAAATATCGATATATCGATACATCGATATTTTAAAAAATATCAATATCGGCTTCGATATATCGCGAAAAAAAATATCGATATATCGGGCCAATTTTTCCAAAAATATATTTAGGTCAGCCTAGCATAGTAATAATAGTTCAATACAAATTATAATTAAAGATAGAATTATTAAAGTACCAAATTGCCGCTACACTACATGACAGTACAGTATCTCACGAAATATGACACGCGGAATAATAATGGAACGAAAATTATCTCCCTAAAAATAGACCCTATTTTCGAATGATGAAAATGCCAATGTCAGGGCCTCTCAGGCGTCATCTTTCGTAAACACGACTAGACAGTCACACACTTCCACAGAATATAATGGAAATCAGCACAACCAATTCACCAGCGAAACAGATTTACAAATAATAGACAATACTAAATACAGCACAGATCATAGATATGTTGAATATCATTAATCTGAGATCTAGTTACGATTTTTCCAGATACAAATTTAGTTAGATCGTGATATGCCGCTAATAATTAAAAAAATATCGTTTTCGATACGAATTTCGATATTGGTTATTTTGTATCGATATATCGATATATCGAATCAAAATATATCGGCAAAAAATATCGATATATCGAACAAAAAATATCGATATATCGATACATCGATATATTTTCAACAAGCCTAGAATACCTCTAGAGGCACTCGCCAAAACTCGGCTTGAGGTCCCCTTAGGATCTCACCGTCCCCAAACCCGGTGACGCTGTAAAGGTCATCTGCGACCAACAGCATACACACTCAAAAAAAATGTTTTGGCGATAAGACGCAGTCGTCTTTGAGGTTATGTTACTCCATGCGTATCCTCTCACATTTTAACTGTTTCTGATCAAGTATTTTTCGTAATGAAAAATTGACAGATAAAACTTGCTGTCTTCCGAACCATGGAAGCAGACGTGGTGGTGCTAAACTGCTTAGGTTTAAAAAACTGATGGTGGAAGAAAGTGGGTACAGTATATAAATAAACGGTGAAATATTATAAAAATCTTAGCCCAAGAGTTGCTCTCGCTGTATGTATCATAAACACTTGAAACGAAGTTTCGTGACTGCTAGCTCACGCCTAAAAAACTGCATAATGTACCTTATTTTTAATCAAGAAGAGATGGATACCGGGCTCAGCTTTCCATTAGCTGTGGTTGGGTTGCGAGCTGAAATTTTTGTCATGCAAAGTATTGATTATTAGAAACACGTACATGAAATCTTTTTAGGCGGAAACGTCGAAGACGTGAACATTGTTTTGGCTGTAGTGGATATTTTATGTTTGGCTGTATTCGATTGAATGTGATCTAAAGTGGCTTCCACACGATACAATTTTACGTCCAATTTGTTGTGTGGACGGA